GTAAGTTTCACTTCCCCAGTGTGGCCCAGGCGCACTTACTTTTTTTTGCTATTTAATACCAGCCAGATTTCAACTGAAGCAGATCTTGATCCTTTTTTCTCAAGTAGTTTTTCTCAGTAGTAATTTATACATTTTACGTAATTAGTAGCGGCACATTGGGTGAACTAAATGCATTCATACATACATATTTATGTACAACTGTAGGTAATATTGTATGACTCTCCCAGGTAGGTTAAGTGCGGGTGATAAACCCATGTAGCATAGTCAAATACTGTGTACATACCTACGATTAAAATGGGGGAGAAAATTACAATTTCGGCATTTGACTGGAAAAAAACTCTAAAATACACACAAATTGTGGTTTCCAGGACATGTACGAAGTGATTAGCACAGCAGCGTCCTTCAACTTGTCAATTCGCGGGAAATTCCCCGATTTGCAGGGAATTCCGGTTTAAGAGGCAATCGGGGAATGGGTACTTTTTTCGGGGATCTGGGCATGTTATTTTTATATCTTAAAGTAACCAAATTAGACGAATATGTTAATTTTTACCATTTCACCCTTTTTGGAGCAGTGATGGGCACACCTAAATACTTTTGTACTTAAAGTACCACTTTGGGTACTAAATACACAAATACTTAGTATTTTTTGTATGACTAAATACCCAAGTACTATTTACTTAGGTATTTAGGAGCTTCTAAATACCCAAGTACTATTTACTTAGGTATTTAGGAGCTGCTAAATACCCAAGTACTATTTACTTAGGTATTTAGGAGCTGCTAAATAACCAAGTACTATTTACTTAGGTATTTAGGTGGTGCTAAATACTCAAGTAAAAAGTATTTAGGTATTTAGGAGCTATTAGATATTAAACTAAGAAAAACTTGAGTATTTAGGAGCTGCTAGATACCAAAGTACAAAAAACGAAAGTATTTAGCAGGCGCTAAATACTCTGGTCCAAAGTACTCAGGTACCTTGGGGATGCAAAATACTTTCACTAAAGTACCAAGGTATTTTAGTCGATGGCTAAATACTTTCAAACTAAATACTGTATAGTTTTGGAGAAATTTAGAGAATTAACACCTCAACTTACTTTACCACAACTCACCTCACCTCTCCTCAAATCAACTCACCACATACAAACTCACCACATCTCACTTAAACTCACCACACCTCCTACTGGTACACCAAAACCCGCCAAATCTTAACCCACCACAGTTGAACTCATCACTCTCGTTCTCACCACACCTCACCTAAACTCACCACACCTCAATTTGGGAACTGTTTCTGGATTTGAGAGATACTTCAGACTAAATCAGGATTTAGAAGACCATTTCGGGGTTTTCGGGACTATTTTGGGATTTTCGAAGCTATTTCGTAATTCTTTAGGGATTCCCGGAAACTGTTTAAGATTTTCGGGATTTTCGAAACGACTTTCAAAATATTTAGGGATTT